TCCTGAAAGAAAACAAGTTCCAAATCACATTGACATAGCCTGCTAAACGTTTTTCAAAATAAATGGAGATTAAGATACTTCCATGATGAAGAACATCTGAAGAAATTTATGACCACCAAACCAGACATCCAAACTTCCTGAAGGATATTCCAGAAATATATAAAGAAAGAATCCATCAGACAAGACCAGACAAGCAGTTAAAAAGGGAAAAGACAAGGAACCAACAACAGGAAAATTGACAAGGTTAAATCAATACATATCAGTTATAACCATTGATGTAAATAGTCTCCTTTAAGCAATTCAAGAAATAGACACACAGAATAGATCAAGAAACAAAACCCAACAACACGTTGCATACAGCAAACACACTTAATTCAAAAATAAATTCACAGATGGAAAATCACAGTCTCAAAAACCATATTCCATGCCACAGGCACTCAGAAAAAAAATAAGAGATAGTGATATTATTTGCAGACAAAGTAAGCTTAATGTCAAGACTGATCACAGGAGACAGGAAGTCACTGCACATTTCTTAATGGAAAACTAAAAGTTGAAGAGGTAACAATCATAAATAGGTATGTCCAAATACAGGTACATATAACTATATAAAACAAATATTAATGGACATTAAAAATTACATAAAGGTTAACATAATTTTATTTGGGGTACCTGAATATCCCACTATCACAAGCATATAAAGCAACCAGACAAAAAAATTCAACAAAGAAATACCAGAATTGAACCAAATCTGAACAAATGGACTTAGTAGCTATCTACAGAGTTTCTATCCCACAACATCAAGTGCAAATTCTTCGCAGCTGCACATGGGATATCCTGCAAAGTAGACCATATACTCGTCCATAGAATACACTTATGTAATTGCAAGGGAATTAAAATTATCCCCTGCATATTATTGAAACCAAATGTAATGAAATTGGGAACAGAAACTACAAAAACTACATAAACATGGAAATTAAACACCCTACTATATAATTAGTGGGTCACAGATGAACTAGAGAAGAAAGTAAACAATATCTATAACTACATGACAATGCTGATACAACATATTGAATACGAGATACAATGGAAGCAGACCCAAGTGGAAATTTATAGTTGAGTATTTTCATATCAGGAAAACAGAATGAGCTCAAGTAAAAAACCTAATGCTGAAGCTCTAACATCCAGAAAAAAGAACAAATCAAGCCCGAAACTTGTGTGAGGAAGGAAATTATAAAGATCAGAGCAAAAAATAGTTCAATGGAGACTAAGAAAACAATAAAAGAATCAAGGAAACAAAAGCTTTGTTCTTTGAAAGATTAAATAAAATTGATAAACTCATATCCAACCTTATCAATAAAGGGAAAAACATTCATGCAACTAGGAATGAAAATGATGAAATCACTGTGAATACTGAGGAAATTCAGAAGATCATCAATTCTTGCTTTAACAATCTTTACTATAATATGATACAAAACACAGAGAAAATGGCCAGATTCCTAAATAATGAAATTGAATCAATCCCTGACTTGAAATTATATTACAGAGTTGCAGTGATAAAAATAGTATTGTACTGAAAAACAAAAATCTTGTGATCAGTGGAACAAATTAGAAGATGCAGAAACAAATCAAAGCACACTTAACTGCCTTATTTTTAACAAAGGTTCTACTTTCCCTGGAAGAAACCTCTTTGCAAAATAGTGATGGAAAAGCTGGCTTTCCACATATCAAAGACTAAATCTAGACCATGTGTATCACCACACACTAAAGTCAAAGTGGATCAAAGATATAAATATTAAAACAGAAACATTAAACCTGCTGGAAGATAAAATAGATAGAACTCTTGAAGACATAGATGTAGACAAACATTTCATGAGAAAACCTGAACTTTACAGGAAATACTACAAAGAATTAACATCTAGGATCTCATCTTATTAAAAAGTATTTGCACAGCTAAAGAAATTACCAACGGAATGAAAAGACAACTCTCAGAAGGGGAAAATTTTTACTAGCTGTTCCTCAGACAAAGGACTAATATCTAGAACATATAAAAATTGAAAAAAATCAGACTTCCCCAAATTTGAAAATGCAATCAAAAGTAGTATATTCAGATGAATAAATAGAAATAGCAAATAAATATGTGAAAAATGTTCAACATCATTGATCCTTCAAGAGATGCATACTAAAACAACACAGAGATTCCATCTTACCCCAGAAAGAATGGCTATTGTCAGGAACTCAATTAATGGCAAATGCTGGCAAGGCAATGGGGGAAAAGGAATCCTCTACTTTTGGTAGTAGTGTAGACATGTGCCAACACTGTGGAAATCAGTGTGGAGATTCCTCAAAAACTAAGAGTAGATGTCCCATTTTACCCAGCTATTTTCCTTCTTGTTATCTTCCTAAAAAAATAAAGGCATCATTCCTTAGTGATATATGTACATCCATGTTTGCAGCAACACAGTTTGTAATAGCCAAATCTTGGAAACAACTTAGACCTCCACCAATTGATGAACAAATAAAAATGATGTGCTTTTTAATACAATTAAATACTACTCTATCATAAAGAAGGATAAATTTGGAACATTCCTAGGAAACAGATGCAAAGTGGACCATATTCTTAAGTGAAATAAATCAGACTCATGTGTAAATATTGTATTGTCTTCCCGATGTGAGAAACTGAAAGAGTAAATAAGGAAATATAAAATAGATTGTGAAATGGAAAGAAACTGTTCAAAAGGTAAGAAGAACTATGTTGGGGGAAAGGACAAGAAGAAAGAGAAAAGAAAAAGATTGTTGTAAAAAGTAATAAAATGGAAACGAGGGTTTATAAATAGGGAAGGGAAGATGGGTTGAAATGTGGAGAGGGGATTGGGAAAGAAAGAGGAATCAAAGTATATCTTGTACTGGTACAAATTCAGTATGATGTATATTAACATTAAGTACCAAAGTGTACCAATAAACTTACTAAAAAAGTAATGATGCCAGGTTGGTGGCATGGGCCTGTAATCCCAGAACTGAGGATGAAGCAGAATGGCAAGCATGCTTAGGAAACTTAGGAAGAGCCTATCTAAACAAATAAGCATATTGAAATCAAAAGAGGACTGTGGATATCTCAGTAGGAGCCCCTGGGTTTTAGTCCTAGTGCTAGAGAGAGTCCTAGTACTAGAGAGAGAGAGAGAGGGGTAGAGGGGGAGAGAGAGAGAGAGAGAAAGAGAGAGAGAGGCAGAGATATGTTTTATACTTTTGGGTGTCACCTGATTCTGACTCTGAGTGGAGAGGTCCTCATGCTTGTTTTAATGTAACTTCCAGCTTTCCAGCTAGTTATGTTCTGGGCTTCTGGGCCTTATTAGCTATGCTCTGCTTCCTTTTCTTCCACAGAGTATTTAGGTGCACACAAGATTGAAATTTCATATTTTTCAGACAGTTTGTAACTGTCTTGGGGTTCCCTTCTTGAAATGGTTCACCAGACTTCTCTCGAACATTCGCCTAGCTAGCGGGTTTATGCTCTTCCCATCACTTGAAAAATGCTATGTCACTCTCTCCTCTGACTAATTAGTATTTATTATAAAGACTTTGCAGACATATATTATCTTACATTTTCAGTAAATAAACTTTATAAATTCCAGGCCTAATGATTTTGTCTCTTTTCCTGAGCAACAATAATTGCACATAGAGTTGTACAAATTGATACTCATTTTGGGGCATATATTTCATCTTTGTGCATCATAAATTCATTTTTTTCTTTTAATGTTAGAGGCTTATATGGTATAAACAATGCCACCAATGTATAATTTTACTACATTCCTTTGTGCTGAGTTGAATGGAATTGCCAGTTCATGATACTTTGATGGTTAAACTTGCACTCTTACAATAGACAAGCAACAAAACTCCTTGAGGAAACACATTTTCTAAGAAAGTTTCTGTTACCTAGCAATCACTATGTAACAGAAGATAACTCTTCCATTATCTCAGTTTTTATTTTTTAACAATTGGAACAGGGTCTGGGGAATATAGTGATCCTTTTGGCCTGTACTGGCTGACATATTTTCTGAGCATCTATAGAGCATCTCTAGCATTCAGGGTGTCTTGAGAATAAAGTACCCTCATTTTGATGGTGGTAGCATTCTTATAAAAAAAACCACTAGTAATGATTTCAGGTTACTGTTTGATTGTTTTCTTGCATCGAAGTACACGCCTCTTCTGTCCCACCCCACATCCAGACCCAAATGCTTTGTAACAAGCAGAGGGTTTTGGCAGCACATATGCTTGCTTACTGTCTCATATGTTCTACTTTATTAACACACATGGAGGGTTAGAGATATTCAATCTGTGTCTGCAAGGCTAAGAAGTTTATTCATGACATATATTCCTTAATTCTTCTAAAATGGAGCCCAGGGAAAGCTCAGAAGTTTAGAATAACTAAAGCCATGGCACAGTGCACATGTGATAGCTCCCACAGAGGCAAACTTATTCCATCAAGTTCATGTCTAAGGTTACCTCCTATCTTCTTTGTCAAAGTAAGAGGGAGAGAGAAAGGGATTTGGAAAACTTTACTTCTTTGACTTGCAATCTCCCCATAGCTACATGAGAATAGTAGGATACCTACTTCATATGATTTTCATCAAGGTAAATCAGATCATATGAAGGCTATTTATATCAGGATCAACAATTAGAAAATATAATGTGCATCTCAATTGATGTTACAGAGAAACAGCTTTTATGTGGATGATTTATTTATGTTGTATTTTTTGTTCAAGGTGATGCCTCTGCTAAATGGTTTTGATTGATTACCAATGAAACTGAAGGCAAAAATACAGAAAATCATATCGAGAACAGCTAACAATGTGACACTTCCCAAGTTCCCAATTCTATACCCAGGAGCCCTTTACACTCTACATAAATCATTCTTCTTTTTGCTGTCTTAAAAATATCCAAATTATTTAGCGTCCCATCCACTGCCTTGCATTTCTCTGCCTACAGTGTATCTGGGCTGGGGGAAGTCAGAGAAGCCATACTTTTTTGAGGGCTCCCAATCTCTGCAATCTCTTTGTTACAGAGTGTGTAGATGATGAGGTTAAGCAAGGGAGTGATGATCATATAGAAAACCGCCACCTCCCCATCCAAGGCTTCTGTGAACCAGGCCACAGGTAAATGAAGGTGCAGGGCACATAGTACACAATGACAACTGTGAGGTGGGCAGCTCAGGTGGAGAAGGCGTTGTGGCACCCGTCCACGGACTGGATTCGCAAGCTGGCAGCCACAATGTAGCCATAGGAGGTGAGGATGAGCATAAAGCAGGTGAGAGCCAGGAAGCCAATGTCCACAAAAGTGACCAGCTCGTTGATGGTGGTGTCTGCATGGGTTAGACGGAGGATAGCCGGAATGTCACAGAAGAAGTAGTCAACTTGGTTTGGGCCACAGAAGGGTAACCGGAATATGAAACTTGTTTGAAAAAGTGAGTGAATAGTTCCTCCCAGCCAGGATCCCAAAGCCAGGTAATTACAGACACGATGGGTCATGATGGTAGCATTGTGCAAAGGCTTGCAGATGTCCAGGAACCGGTCATAAGCCATGAATGTGTAAAGGAAGCATTCAGTGGAGCCAAGAAAATGGAAAGAAAACAGCTGGATTACACAGCCCCCAAAGGAGATAACTCTACTATCTGAGAGAAAGCCAGCCAGCATCTTGGGGACAGTGGCAGAGGAAATGGTCATGTCCAAAAAGGAGAGATGACATAGGAACCAGTACGTGGGACTGTGGAGCCGGATGTCCACAAGATGGTGAGGATGATGAGCCCATTGCCAGAGACGGTGAGGATGTAGATGAGAAGGAAAGCTAGGAAGAGCGGTGTCCTTAGCTGTGGCAGGTGGTGCAGGCCCACCAAAATGAAGTGAGGCACAGAAGTCTGGTTTCCGATTTGCATTTCTTTGCTGCTCACAACTGCCAAAGAAAGCAGTGGAAAGATAGGCTTAATATTCATGCACAATCATGAGGCATGGTTCATCTACGTCACTCTCAAATAAGGGAAGAAGATAATCTCTTTTTTGCTTTCACTGTGGCATCCTTGCTCTTTGTTATTTATTTTCCCTCTCAGATCCTCCTAATTTTTGATTCTGAGATCTTATTTAATTCCAAAGAAAAATTCTGTTTTTTCAAGGTTGAAATTAGTAGACTATATGTACAGGAGTCTCTCCTTATTCATAGTTTCATTGTATAAGCTACTGCCAATTCAGGCCCAACTTTATTTGTCTTTATTATTTCAAGAAGAAAAGAGCATACTCACATAACTTTTATTAAAATATAATTATTGTATCTTGTTATAATGTATTGGTTATACAATTATTGTATCTTGTTGATATAATTATTGTCTTTTATTTATTCCTGCTAATCTTTTACTTTGCCTGATTTATAAATTAAACTTTAACATGTATGCCTGTATAAGAAAGAACATTATATATATAGGATTTGGTAGCAGCCCTCAAGATTTTAGAACCCATCTGCTATGGATGAGGGCCAATTACTGTGTCTAATTCAAAAGAGAAAAGAAAGGCCACACAGGGAGATTTTCAAGTCAGGAAGAAGTGTAATCAGACTAATCTAATCAATTAATGAAATATCTGTTCTGTTGTTTTGTGTCAGTTTGATTTATAATCTGCATTAAAGAGAGTTGGGTTGCATCTTATTTATTTTCTAAGAACAGATGAATTGGAGTTATATTTAGTAATCAAAGTATGCCCAATTAAAAACTATGAGAATATACACTGAACTTTATATGTTAAAAATTCTCTAGATTTAGCTCAAAATATCTATTTTTAAAAATTTTATACAAAAGAATGCACATGCTATTTAAAATCTTTCAGTAGAATGAAGCAGTGCAAGACTGCTCCAGGGTGACTGATATTCTTTCGTCTGAATTGGTGTAGCCCATCCATCCATCCATCCATCCATCCATCCATCCATCCATCCATATGATTGGACATTATATATAGATCTTGAGATCATGCTTTCTAAAGTCTTACTGGGCTAAAATAAATTATTCCTTTCATTTATACTTGGAAATGTCAGTTTACCGTTTTTCCCTCTGTATCTACAGTTTTAAGTGGGTACAACTGCAGTGACTACTTCTTGAGGTTGTGTAGAAACTAAATAAACTCATTCCTGTAATTCATGGTAGCACCCAATAAACATTAATTACTATTTTCCGTCAAATATATACCATAGTCCTATAATTAATCAGGCCAGTTCAGCACTTCCAAAGGTGCATCAGGTCTGAGGTACACCTATGGCTTCTAGCATCATGAAGAGCCTTTTCTCCCAGCACTGCTGGGGAGCCACAACAGCTCCAGGGGCGCCAAGCTCTCTAAAGGCAGGGAGGGCCATGTGAGCCCCCAAAGGAGATGACCTTACTATCTGTTCTTTCCAAAATCACCTTCCTTCCACTAGTATTTGCTCTGATACTCTGCTTACAAACTGGAAGTATTATCCAAACAGTTTCACCTTCAGAAAAGCCTCCAGACTCATTGAGAAGGCTTCAGAAGATACGCCATGAAGCAGGCTTCCCACTGATTGCCTGTAGTCTAGCAAATGGCTACTTCCTTCCCCTTCTGCACCATATCACCATACATTTGTCCTCTCACTGTCTCAGTCTTCTTTAATGTCACAGACACTGCTATTCTCAGTGGCATGGTGGCTAGGTTTTGATTGCATTTTGAGATTCAGGATTTTCTGTGCTAACCCTGGGTGGGTTCCTGCTCAGTAAAACTGGATCACTCTAAGTAGGGGTTTATCTCTGTGTGCCCTATTTCCCCAATTAGACTGCAAGTACCTACAATAATTTTCTCAGTTTTCTTTTTATCTTGAGTTTGTTGTATACCTTGCAAACAAATAGTCTGGAATAATATTGAACAAACATATTTTCTCTGTGTGGATGTTTTTATTATCTGGATATTCAATCCAGGATAATATCAATTAGGACTTACAACTTGAGTTCTGAAATCTTAAGATTTTTGCTCTCAGTTTCTCATTTAAAAAGACGCGTGGCGATGTAAGTACAAATTATCACCAAAAGAAATGCCAGCATTTTTTGAATATAAATCAGTTCACAAATTAAATTTTGTTCTTACACAAGGAATATAAATTTTTAAAAAAGAAAATAAGTTTTCCCTTTCTTCTCAACTCTCTTTCATATCTTAATTTCTTTTTTTCCTATCTTTCTATTGCCTTGACATATCAAGTTTATTTATTTATTTATTTTTTGTACCAGGGATCGAACCCATGATGTTGTGTTTGATAGGCAGTGCTTTTACCTCTCAGCTAAATCTCCAGCCCTGACATATCACTCCTTATTCACACTTAAAATTTGTTTACAAACAAATAATCTTACCTGGAAAGGGAGAAAAATGCTCCAGGGTTTCCCATTACCAAGTAAAACTGATTCAAGAATTTATTGTATGTTTTAGCTAATATCATCTTCTATTAACATATGATATATTGACATATGTAACAGGAAAAGACTTCTACATGAAGGCTTGGGTTAAAGTACAGTAGGGATAGTTTCATTGACCTACTCAAACCCAGTGTGACCTTGAAACTCATCTGAATGAGAAATCTCCAAGACATATATTAGGTTTTGGCAAGGGGAATTGAAAGACTTCTTTTGTCTCTGGAGTAATGGCATTAAGGGACCTGACCCGTTCCTGTGTTTTCAGCATCTCTAACCTTTGATAAATATATGTATCAGAGGAGTTTTCATTATATGCTTCTACCTCCCTTTTGGTGACTTCTTTGCTGGTGACCACTGCCTGGATATGAATCTGCCGAGAGGCCGTGGCCTGCTGCTTGCTATGGCTTCTTGCTCTTTGCAGTTCCTTATGGAGACACATATTTGAGCTAAGCAGGTGTGGTCTTCTCCTTCGACATTCACTTTCTTGCTTGCTTTCCTCTGCCCTATTCATAAAGATCTCTGACTCAGACCCCTGCCCTTCATAGCATTTGTGAAGCTGTCAGCTTTGGCCTCTGGAGTCTTATTTTCTGGCAAGTGATTTCTTCTGATAGTTCCAGAGGGGTAGATAAATGGAGGCTGACATTACTTCTGCTTTGTCTTTCAGGGCAATTAATTTACCAGGTAGAAATAAGTTGCACTGGGCTTTGTTAGTAGTATTTATAGCTCTGTCAGAAAATTGTCTTAATTGCTAGTTGTATCCTTATAACAGGATCCTGAAAAGACCAAGTACTTGATGAAAACATCAGGGGACCCTTTACATCTATAAATTAGTTGTTTTTACTTATAATACCTAGGAATGGATGAAATTTCAAAGAAACTTAAAATTTAAGTTTTTTAAGTTTAATTTAAGCTATATGTTAATCACTTAAAAATACCCTGCAAATTGAATTTAGATTAAATTACTAGGGCATTATTATTTGGGGGAAGAACTCTATTATCATTGAGCATACAAATAGGAATTTAAAGCTAGACAGAATATAAAAAAGTGGCAGCTCTTTAAGAGACAAATGCATTTCATTAGACCTGGAAAAGTTGTTAGAAAAATGATTCAAAGCAACTTTCAGTTTACTCTTGAAAAAAGATTGAGTGTAGAATTTTCCGAAGGTGAAAGTCATACTCCTTAGTTAGTAGATATAATTCCTTTCAAGTCTCTGTGGTAAATGATACAGATTTGCACAGCTCTGGGAATAGGGAATCTTGTAGTCATGAGCTTGAGCTAGTATAGATCAATAAATATTTGAATACTTGTTTAATATAGTTTAATTACTTCTGGCCATTATTGGTGAGCAACTTTTCAAGGAGCACATTGTGAAACACAGTTTTTCACTTGTTCTATTTTTTGAATGAGCCATTTTCCACTTAAGGAGTTGTGTAAAGTTAACAGCAGGTATTCTGGTTTGTGTTCATTAGTTTACTTACCAATTGCAAGGACACAATTTTCTGGTTTTTTCTTAGAAAAGTGAGTATAAAACAGATTTAGTTTTGCTAAGAGTTAATTCTACATAAAGAAAGGAAGAAGGAAGAAAATTAAGATCCCAAATACTTAATTCTCTCATCGCAGAGGACGCTCTTCTTTTGGAATATGTTTGAAGGGAATATTCATTTACAAAGAATAAAATGAGGAAAAGAAATACTGAAAACAATGGTGACTTTGGTTCCAAATTCTAGTTTGGATCCTTGTTTTTAGGAAGTTAAGGAATCTAGGGCATTATTTTTTATCTTATGTTTCTCTTGTTTTCCATTTGACTTATTATGGATGGGTACATAGAAAGAGATATGGAACTTCTTCCAAAGAGGTGATCCCTTATTGTACACTTTTAAAGTAGAAGAGCAAAAAGCTTTATTATGTTTTATTCTTCTTAAAATGTAAAAAAAAACCACCTAAAGTAGCTACCTATGCTGTCAGACATAATAAAATTAAGCAAACAAAACAGTAAAAATCAAAACAAAACAATGAAAGTGATACAAGGCTTCAAAACAGATGATAGGAAATCAACAATGGCTACCACAATATATCTTGTTATCTTTGAAATAGCTGCATGTATTATCAGATGTAATAAAATATAACAACATCAACATAATAAAACTAAACAGCAGAACAATGAAAAACAAGCAAAACAGAACAATGAAAATGACACAGGACTTCAGAACAAGATAATAGGTAATTGACAATGGATCCACCTTTCATTTTAAGACATTTCCTCCACTTTCACAATATCTTTTGTACATTTTTTTATTTAAAGAAAAAAAAAACAACACAAAACAGTATAAGGGTACAAGTAATAAAGATCTTCAAAAGAAAAAACAGCGAGAAATCACTAGTTAATAGATTACACATTGTCATCCTAGAAATAGTCTCTCAAGTTACAGGATTAAAGCACACAAAGTGGACATTCACACAATGAGATTGCAAACAGTTGTGTTCAGTT